ACTGGAGACAAAAAACAAACAAACAAACAAACAAAAAAAAAAACATAACGATATTGCTAAACCTGTCGCAATTGCTTCCTCTAGGCCTGCGCCCTCTACCTTCTACGGGGAATTATTTATAAAACTATTATCATAAACCCCACAATAACACAACAAGAAATCCAAAATCAATATAGCGAAACCCATTGAAAAATACGAATAGACAACAAAGCCCTTCAATCCTTCCTTTGACCCAGCGCCATCTGTCTTCAGCGGAGCGAGGTGGCGTTGGCGTCGCGGCCGAGACACGGGAACTGGGCGGCGCAGAAGGCAGCCTCCGCGCCCTCCCTCGACGCCCGCCCTCGCTGCGACGCCTCGAGGGCCAGCTGGTACCGAGGCGGATCCGACCCCACGAGCGCCCTGGCCGCGACGTTCGACACGAAGGCGCCCACGACGCGGCCGAGGGCGCCGTAGCGGTGAGTGAGGGCGGCGTTGGCTTCGCACAGAGGCCGCTGGATGCAGGAGTCCTCCGGCGGGGCCTCGCGGGACGCCTCCGACAGGTTGCGCTGCGGAGGAAGAGATCGAGGGAGGGCGCTTTTAAGACGGTGGAGGGCGGGAGGGGTATGGGAGGGGTTTCGAGGGTGGGAGGAAAGGGGGAGGAGGAGAAGGAGGAGAAAGAGGAGAAAGAGGAGAAGGAGGGGAAGGAGGAGAAAAAGGAGAAGGAGGGAGGGAGGGAGAAGGAGGGAGGGGGAGGAGGAAGGAGGGAAGGAGGGAAGGAGGGAAAGGAAGGGAAGGAGAGAAGGAGAGAAGGAGAGAAGAGAGAGAGAGAAAGAGAGAGAGAGAAAGAGAAAGAGAAAGAGAAAGAGAGAGAGAGAGAGAGAGAGAGAGAGAGAGAGAGAGAGAGAGAGAGAGAGAGAGAGAATTTCCGATAATGTTTTCTTTTTAATCGCTACTGTTGTTATTATTTCCACTCATTGTCATTGAAACACTTCCACTTTCGCTATTCTATTCCACTACTATCACTGGGTATATAAGAGAGGGAAACAAACAGAAAGAGAGAAAGGGAGAGGGAAAGAGAGAAAGTGAGAACATGAGAGAGAGAAAGAGAGGTATGGAGAGGTAGGGCAAAGCAGAGATAGGGAGAGGAGAGTTAGGGAGAGGAAGAGGTAGGGAATGGGAGAGGCAAGAAAGAAAGAAAGAGAGAGAGAGAGAGAGAGAGAGAGAGAGAGAGAGAGAGAGAGAGAGAGAGAGAGAGAGAGAGAGAGAGAGAGAGAGGGAGAGAGAGAGAGAAGGGGGAAGAGAAAGTGAGAACATGAGAGAGGGAAAGAGAAGTATGAAGAGGGAGAGGTAGGGAATGGGAGAGGGAAAGAGAGTGAGTGAGAGAGAGAGAGAGAGAGAGAATGAGAAGGAGAAGAAGAAGAAGAAGAAGGAGAAAGAGAAAGAAAGAGACCGAGCGAAAGCGCGAAAGAGCCCCCCACTCTCCACCCAGAACCCCCCCCCAAAAAAAAAAGAAAAGAAAAGAAAAAACAGACCGACAGACCGAAGCCCGAGACCCACCAGGAGCGGCACGATGAGCTGCGGAAGCCCCTCGGCGAGCGCGTCCGCCCTCCGTCAGCCACGTACTGCAGGAGGTCCTCCTCGTCGGGCGTCGAGGTCCCTCTCCTGCGTCGGTTGGGGTTCGTGATCTGCTGCACCACGTCCTGGGGGGGGGGGGTGGAGGGAGGGGAGGGAGGAGGGGGGGGTATGGGTATGGAAAGGAAAGGGGTGGGGGTGGGAGTAAGAGGTAGGGAGGAAGGAGGGGTATGGGTATGGAAGGGAAAGGGTGGGGGTGGATAGGAATTAAGGAGGGGCGGGTGGGAGGAGGAGTAGGAGGTAGGGAGGAGGAAGGAGGGGTATGGGTATGGAGGGGAAAGGGGTGGAGTAGGAAGTAGGGAGGAGGGGCAGGAAGGAGGGGTAGGGTATGGGTATGGAAGGGAAAGGGGTGGGGAGGGAGTAGGAGGTAGGGAGGAGGGGTAGGAAGGAGGGGTATGGGTATGGAGGGGAAAGGGGTGGGAGGAGGAGTAGGAAGTAGGGAGGAGGGGCAGAAGGAGGGGTAGGAAGGAGGGGTATGGGTATGGAAGGGAAAGGGGTGGGTAGGGAGTAGGAGGTAGGGAGGAGGGGCAGGAAGGAGGGTATGGGTATGGAGGGAAAGGGGTGGGGATGGGAGGAGGAGTAGGAGGTAGGGAGGAGGGGCAGGAAGGAGGGGTATGGGTATGGAGGGGAAAGGGGTGGGGTGGGAGGAGGAGTAGGAGGTAGGAGGAGGCAGGAAGGAGGGGTATGGGTATGGAAGGGAAAAGGGGACGGGTATGTAGGAGGGGTATGTAGGAGGGGAGGTGGGGGTAGGAGGAGGTACAGGAGGCGGCAAGGGTATGGGACATGAAGGAGACAAAGGGGCAATGGAGGAAGGGGAGAAAGCAGGGGTGCGGAACAAGAGTAGGGTATGAGGGCAGGAAGGGAAGGGGCAATGATGGCATTAGGACAGGAAAGGGGCAGGGAGATGGAGGGAAGGAGGGAGGCAGGGGCATGGGGCATGGGTATCGGGAGGGGGGGGGCAGGCGAGAAGCAGGGAGGGTATGATTTTTAAAGCGGGTGTAAGGATGGAGAGAAAAAAAAGCCAATATTAGGTAATTCTCAAAATGGAACACATTTTATCTCAGATTATGATCAGATTTGTAGATGTACCATTATTTCACATTACAAACTACTAACAACACACATTCTACAGAACTATATCTATAAGCAAAAACCCACAATCACTATACTATGAACTACAACCAAATTTTGACCATCCAACGACCCACAAAAACAACAATAACAACAACGACAATAACAAATACCAAAGAAACGGGTTGACTGCACAACTGCGGTCCATTGGGATGAACACTCGGTTGTACAACTCCCGTATCTGACGCTGTCGAACCCTCATGCGAGGCTGGGTACACACACAACCAAACAACAAACAAACGCAGACAAACAAAGACAAAAAGACAAAACACATCCACAGAGGAACAAAACACGCACACACACAAAAAGACAAAAAAATAAACACGCATAAACAAAGACAAAAAAACAAATAAAAACCAAAACCAAAAAAAATACGCACACAGACAAACAAACACACCCATGCACAAACACATAGACAGACACACGTATACACACACAGACAAGCAAACAAACACACAAACGCGCATCTTCCATTCCACTTCTCACGAGCCGTTCGAAGCGCTTCGCTCACTAACTCGAAACCCGAAAATCCGAGATCGATTTCGAAACCGGTTCTGAAGTCATCATTCGTCGCTGACAGGAGAAAATGGCAACCAAGCAAAGCACGACCACAAAAAAAATAACTACAGCAATCTAACGTCAACATCACAAGAAAGCAAAAGTAACTGCAACAACGGCCATGCTTTGAAAGAACCGGAATGTTGCAGAGGGCAGCCTCGAGCTTGCAATGGGTAGGGGGGGGGGTCCAGTACTGATGGCCACAAGCCTTCTCTCCAAAGCGAGCATTTACAGTCTCTCTGGATAGTATATAATCTTTTTTTCTTCTTCTTTCTTGCCTTCGTCCCTAGTGAGGTCGGCCATTCGAATAATCCACTAATCCTGCCTCCAACTTGGTCTGTCCTGCGCTGACTCATTTGCAACTTATCATGCAACATATAGTTATTTTTTACGGTTTCATGCTCTTGCTGGATGGTATATAGGGAGGACTCGTTCCACAACAAGGCTTCTTGTGGAACGAGTGATGCTTAACGTTGATTTAAGACGACGGTGAAGCAGAGGTTACACTGCGAACGCCCACGTCAGCAGGTACATGAGCAAGCATAAAATCGAAAACCGATTTGGAACTCGTCAGTCACCCGAAGGAAAGCGACGGGGAAACTTCGTGTTTTTTTTCTCTTAAACCACGACCGAGGAAGCCAAAAAATGTCAAACGTTGAGGGTGCTGAGTCGGTGAACGCAACGACATTTTTTGTTACGATGGGCGATGCAGTGTCAAAATTGTGTCTGTGATTGCCATTGTGGTATTACCTTTGTTTTTATATGTGACCCAGCGCGGATCCGTTCAAGGAGGAGGGAACGAGCGTAATCAGGAAAAGGAGAAACTTATGTATCAACTTCTCTATCACTGTATTTCCTTTTCTTAAACATTTAGATATTCATACTTACATATACATATACATTATATATATATATATATATATATATATATATATATATATAATATATATATATATATATATATTATATGTGTGTGTGTGTGTGTTGTGTGTGTGTGTGTGTGTGTGTGTGTGTGTGTGTGTGTGTGTGTGTGTGTGTGTGTGTGTGTGTGTGTGCGTGTGTGTGTGTACCCGACGAGGAACGGCTTTGAGGTGAATCTACGAGGTTCAAGCACAAGGTACTTTACGAAGGATAAATGCAAGACGAGATAAAAGAGACAACCAGTTTGTGATTTACAAAGCTGTAGAATTATCACGTGACTTGTGCTGGACGGAAATATGTAATTTATATTTATTTATCTCTCTCGTTCTTTCTCTACTCGTATATTCATCTATATGTTTATCTGGGTATATGTATCTTTCTCTATGTGTATGTGCTGCGTATCTGTTCCTTTGCGCTTGTGTGTATGTGTGTCTGTTTTTATCCATGTGTGTGTGTGAATATGTTGTGCATGCATATTATATATACATTTCTATGAGCATTTATTTATTGATTTATTACTGTGTATTACGTTGTCACTGATGGTGTGGTGCCTCATCAATTCCTGTATCTATAAACTAATTACACCTTTGAAACATCTCACATGATAAACCACATCTCAGCGTCTCGTTGTTATGTTTGAATGTTTTCTCTTATTTGTCCACATTTCTCGTGATCATTATACACACATTTTTTCATATATGTGTTTCATTAAAGGAAAAAAAAAACTGTATATCAATTATACTGTTTTTTTCACTTCTGAGAAAATGAAACAAAACAAAAAAATTCTATATTCGTTTATTCAGTAAATCATAACAATAAACAGGAAAAAGTTGAAATATTTAATAGTATACACAAACTTTGTACACTTAGTGAGGAACAGCATAGGGTGATCGATAAAAAAAAAAAAAGCGGGATATGGAAGTGAAAAAAATGAAAGAAAAACGAAGAAGATAACTGAAAATGAAACGAGAGAGAAAAAATAAAAATAAGAAAAAAGAAAGAACCGATAAATGTGTACTTAATTATGCATTGAAAATGGAGTCAAATGAAAAGGAGATAAGTTATTAATCATATTAGACTTTATCTTAATTTATAGTTAATTAATGCCCCAATCTGCTACGTGGACTGGTGATTCAGGAAACTAATTACATCCCCAATATATTAGCGAAATTAAAATGTAAATAAAGATGAAAGATGTGTAAAATAAATTAAAAAATCACTTTTGACTAGATATCTTACATATTCATCAGTGAATCTAGCATTTATGGAGAAGATGTGATGTATAAGAAGAACCAAAGAGAAGGAATTAATGCCCGCCGCACGAACACTCCGAGACGTCCTCAGTCGACCCCGTTATAATGGTCCCCCCGAAGGACGTCCCCGACCAGTCCCCCGACGTCCTTCGCGTGGTCTTCGGTGCCGTTCCCGCCGCCGCCGTTGACGTCCCTCGAGTACTTGTGGGCCTTGGAGCACCTGGGGAACCTGGCGCAGGTGTGGTCGCTGCGCCCCGCCGCCGCCGCTTCGAGGGCGAG